TATTGGTGGAGGAAGCCGGAGTGCCCGGAGAAAACCACCGACCTTCGATAGGAAAACTGACAATCCTAGTCAATTAGGATTGGAGTCGAGTGCACCTCGAACTCACAACATCAGTGTTGACTGGCTATTGATTACAGTAGTAACTACTTAGACCACTCGGCCACCGAGGCCCCCCTCTGCTCTTGTGATAATAATTGAAGACTCACACAGTTAATGAAAATGTATCATCAACATTAACATATATAATGATATGTCATTAGGATCATAAGTTATCACATCAAACATAACATAGAACAAATAAGTCTTTTTCACGACTGAATGGATAGTAGGAGTTTTAACCTTCAAGGGCCAATAATAGTTAGATGTTCAGAACGAGAGTATGTAAATACATTAAATGATTTCTATTAAAAGCATCAAGTATGCATAATGCGCCGTATAAAAACATAATGAGTTATATGGAAAGGCTTGCATTGAATAAAGCTGTTTATTGATAAAATATATCATAGCTTTCATTTCTAAAACTTTAAAACAATCAAGTTAACTTCTTCAATGTTTTATTAATTCAAAAAATGCCATGGCCAAAGCATTGTTCAAGATATCTTCTCAAACGTGGGCAAAAGTACATTGTATAAAATAAAATTACAGAATGTCATAAATGCTTTTCCACCGTGTACCTTTTTTTGGAATTTTTGACACAATGGGGAAATTCATTTCTATTAATTGAAAATGTTGTATTTCCTTTTCAATAATGTGTTTAAGATTATCTTAGCTGTATTTAACATGACCGTTCGGAATATTAGATCCCCAGTGCTCAACTTCTTACATTCTCAGTTGGCATTTAAACTGTTTCTTTCGAGCGACACTGATGAGCCTTTTATAGACAAAGCGCGCGTATGGCGTATAAAATTATCAGATTGGTATCTTTGATGATTTTTTTAGAACAACATTAAAGCCTGAATGAAGATATCGACAGCAGATCTATCCATACTATTCGATTGAGGCATTTATTTGGGGAGGAGTAATCATGATCTAAATAACAATATAAGAAAACATTATTTCCTCTTAAACTACAATATAGATAAAACTATAATTAAATGTGTATTGAACAAGTCTTGTCGTCAAAATGAATGGGAGTTACTTCCTAAAGACCAAACATAAATTATCAAACCTTTTATACAAAAAACATTTCAAACTCCCTGCAGCTAACGTTCGTGCGTGTTGAGACATCCCTGATTTCAAATGTTTGGGTTGAGCGTTCCTGAGTAATGTAAATCCGAGAAAGCACTTCGGACGAACGACATTTCTAAGTTGTATTGTTTTTTTGGTTATTCATGGATCAATACCACAGCTGGTCCCCGATAATATCAGCACATCAGTAGTCAGTGTTTCGATGCTGGTATGATTTATACAAACAATTTTTTCCACGTTGATAAATCAAAAAGTTACTAGTATTTAGACACTTATGTTCCAAAATCTGAGCAAGTGTAGCCTTTAAAGAATTTGACAATTTTTTATAGGTCCCTGTATGATCATATAGCTCCTAACGTGTGTACTTATTTATACATTCATGGATTCAAATATTGTGGTTTGAGTGTCTCTGATGAATGCAAATAAGAAGAGCGCTTCTTAAGCACGAAATGATTTAAAGTGTTCTTTTCATTCTTTAATGTCATCGGCTCTTTTTAAAGCAGTCATTTTAACTGAGGACAGCTTAATTGTTCATGTTGTCATGAACACGTCTATGCATTACTATATTGATTTATATTTATGTTTTGTTTTATCAACACTTTCTAGCATACATTGTAGATGTTAAAATGAAAATAAAGATCTTTGAATTGCCATTAGCTGCTTATGTGTTAGTATTTTCATCAATATCAAAGTGGATGATATATAATTTCGTCACCTACCTTGACAATGAATAACAAAAATATAATGATTAAAATGTACAGTTTAGTTTGTTCACAACTATTGGTGCGGTTCTGCTGTTACTGGACTACCGTGTCTAAGTGTACTCAATGTACTGTAGCTATTGCTTTAATACTTACATCTGTACATGATTTATACATTTTGTCTCTAAATTTCCAGTTTTAATGTACTTGTAAATCCCGTTTAAATGGTTTTACACTAGTCATTTTTGTGATTCCGAACATCCTTAATTGTCATTTACTTGTTATTGTTTTACACTAGTCAATTTGGTGCCTACAGCTTGCTGTACGATGTGAGACAAGGCTCCGTGTTGAAGACCGTACTTTGACCTATAATGGTTTACTTTTACAAATTGTGACTTGGATGGAGAGTTGTCTCATACCACATCTTCTTATATCTATGTACTTAAACTAAGGCTTCAACTCCATAGGATAAGGTTGACTTGTTATTATGTGTTTTGCATTATCCTAAAACTAATTTATTTTAATTCTACCAGGCTATGTTTAACAGTTTTAATTGTAATTACGTTTTCGAAACATACAAACATACGAATGCTCAATAAACATAATTTATTTCTTAACGTGTATGCCTAAACTAAAACATCTAATATTTACAATAGGTATATGGTTTTTTTTAAACGACACATGTTCTTTTAAAATCCAGAGCAATTCAAACATAAAAAGTATCCACATCAACATTCTTTCACTAACTCAAACACGTAAGGTGGTTCCTTTTTACCTTAACATTATAATGTCTGAAATCAAAACTCATACCAAAACAGAACGACCTTAAAGCCTCTTTACCTGTTGTTATTTTTTCGTCTGATGGTAAAATATCGTTTACTCCATCAAATAACGTATACATTTTCCAGTAGGTTTGACATGCACAACGTCGCTGGGCTTCCAAAATGCAGTAAATTACTAATTTTTCAACAACAAAAAAATCTCACAAACAGGCTTTGAAAATTTGGTCGAAATGCATGCTTCCAAAATGTTGTATGTGAACTTGAACATTTTTGTAAATAGCAGTGAAATAAAAACGTTGACATTTCTGAACTACACAAAAACTAAATTTATTTTCACAGAAATAAAGAAATGCACAAGTATTTGATTCCCAAACCCATTATACAACAATTTTCAAGTTTACATACAACATTTTGGAAGCAAACTTTACAAACAATTGAGATTGGCAATTTTGTGACATGTCTTATTTTAAATGATTTGATTGGTCTAACTGTATGCTATTTTGAAATATCAAAGATTTCCTTCTGCCAAGACGATTTGTGTGAAAAAGTAGTTTTAGCCAAAAAAGTCATATACGACATTTTGGAAGCCCAGCGATGACAAGTTTGTAGTGTTGTATCAGATTTCTTTAAACATGTTGTCTTCATTATTAAAAAAAACTGTTAATGCTGGGTTAAATATATAATAAACTATGTCAAAATCTTAGCTACATGTTATTCCAAATATAGAGATTCATTGTGAGAGAAGTATTCATCCCGCATGAACTAAAAAATGAGTTGTATTTTACACCAATATTTGTCAATGTATCATCTGCTCAGAAAAGAAGTTAAGCAATTGTCATTCAAATCTTTCTTTTGGACAAATAGAAATAAGAAGATATGGTATGATTGCCAATGAGACAACTCTCCATCCAAGTTACAATTTGTAAAAAGTAAACAACTGTAGGTCAAAGTACGGTCTTCAACACGGAGCCTTGTCTCACATCGTACAGCAAGCTGTAGGCACCAAATTGACTAGTGTAAAACAATAACAAGTAAATGACAATTAAGGATGTTCGGAATCCTAAAGTTGTATCCATGTAGGGCCAATAAAAATGTGTTCTCTTACCTCCATTTTCTTTTCATACTTTTGTTACAGTATTGTTTACAAGTCAATTTCTTAAATCTGATAAAATACTTGTTACTGTTTCATAGTTTTTGAAAGAAAAAAAAGGTGCAAATGTCAAATGTATTTCAAATCTGGAGACGATTCATTTCTCACCAAATTTCAAATTTATTATATAAAAATAACAAGGACACGGACCTTTCTTTTTGTTCTCGATGTTTAAAGTTCCGTTATTTACATACTTTCAATGTTTAACAGTCTTTTAAGAAAAGTAGAGAGCGAACATCGTTATGACGTAGCTGTCGATCATTGCACTGTATAATTTGTATTTATCCTTTGTTTGGTCATTTTTATTTCGATCTTTATACCTCTTTGATGTTTTTTACTAAACTGACATTTGAACAACGATACATTTAATTGCACATGTTGCACACGATTGTATCTTCCTGCAATGTGACACAGCTTAACTCCGATACAACGCCAATAGTAGAATGGCATGACACATTTTGTAGCTATTTGAACAAGTACTTTTCTTTCAGTTTCGTATGGCATTTTAATTTTTTTCGCTTTATTTATACTTATTAGTACGTTTTGTCACTATGAGAGAAAGAGAATTACAAAAGCTTAAAAGCTATCCCAGTTCATTCCCATAAATCGGAGAGAAAAAAGAGCGGAAGATACACAATCACAACTCATAAGTCGAGGAGAGAACCCACAAACAAATACGACCCCCCCCTCCAACCCCCCCAAAAAAACCAGCAAAAACAAAAATAACAACATGAACAATAAGACAAAAACAGTCGACTACAACATGACAACTTATCTTAATATGATGTAAAGGTAAATCAAATAGCATGAATAAGACAAACAGTTATCTAAGATATGAAAATTACTTACAATTGAAAGCTTACGTAGATGGACAAGGTCGTAAATTAACTTATCGTGTCGTAGCTATATTATACACTCTCTGTGTGTGTGTGTGTGTGTGTGTGTGTGTGTGTGTGTGTGTGTGTGTGTGTGTGTGTGTGTGTGTGTGTGTGTGTGTGTGTGTGTGTGTGTGTGTGTGTGTGTGTGTGTGTGTGTGTGTGTGTGTGTGTGTGTGTGTGTGTGTGTGATATACTCAGAAGCTGTTTCTTTCTAATAACTTTGTTTTTAATTGTTTCAAGTGAGAACATTAAAACAAAAATCAATGTTTCTAACAAAATTGTGTGTTATCATGCTGCTTCTTCACAATTTCTTTATCATTAGTTTTGTTGATTTAAGAGAATAGTGATATCCTTTCCACGTTGTCCAAATGATTCCATCAGCATAAGAGCTCATTTCCCCTGGTAAGTACGGCCCGTTTAGATTTGAATAGTGACATATCTGGTGCCACCATGCTCCTTTATAAATGACTGCACAATTATCACCAGTATATTTGTCATTATCTCTGTCATGCGTAGAAAACATATTTCCGTTATGGTATGTAAGACTGTCTCCTAAATAAAAAAATATGTTATTAATCATTTTCTGTATCAATCTGACCCAGATATTGCATGTCACTTTTTCAGAACGGATTTCTTGGCCTTTAGTATTGATGTCCTTTACCATTCAACTATGACGGAAAAACAAATTAAAGTCAACTTTTTCAAAACTAATTGTTTCCATGTTTTACCATCTATAACTATTTTTCTTGCGTTGGGTTTAAAACGTAACATTCCTCATACAATTCTTGGTTTATCTGAATAACCATATATAGTTATTATTGGCTGCAGGTTTCTACAATGCACATATAAAAATAAGAACATGTGTTATGATTGCCAATGAGACAACACTCCCCAAGAGAAAAAGTGACGAAAATAAAGGCAACAGTAGTATACCGCTGTTCAAAAGTCATAAATCGATTGAGAGAAAACAAATCCGAGTTACAAACTAAAACCGAGGGAAACACATCAACTATAAGAGGAAAACAACGAAACAACAGAACACTAAAGTGCAACATAAAACAAACGACAACGCAACATACATAGAAACGAAATATTGGATAACAACTGCCATATTCCTGACTTAGTAAAGGACATTTAAAAAAAAAATGGTGGGTTGGACCTGGTTTTGTGACGGGCCAAACCTCCGCGCTTTATGGCAATGTTAAATATACCGCTAAAATGACAACATTACATGACGGGAATACAGTACAAATAAATGCAAGAACACCCAAGACAGAGAAATACATAAATAAATAATATAATAGTACATTTCGACATGTTAACCACAGAATAACAACGGATAACTAAAAATGATTAAGGACAGTACATAAAAACAGCTTAATAGAATTACGAATTATTTGTTTGTCACACGAATGCATCAACGCCACAAAAAGTCACGTCACAGGTAAATTTCTAAAAGTTGGAAATAGATCAAGATTAGGTTTCTAATAATGTTATTTAATGTATTTTATAACAATTACGAGAAAATATTAACATAGAATTGTGTTAGTAATAGTGCAACTAACTATGTCGGCCCTTCTTCCAAAATCAAACTGTGTAAAACAAATAAATCCTGTGCACATAGTTGCTTTAAACTAAAATCATACAAATGAACTGGGTGATTAATTATCTTTACTTTTACATACGAATAGAAAATAAAAAATAGAACCACAACTACAAACGATAAGACACAAAACAATATCCGATCAGAATTACAAATAAAACTTCGTAAATTTTAACTACTATAGGTCACCGTGTAAGTAAACACCAAACAATGTATTAAAAGAAAGTTTTCGTAATCATATTATCTGCTTTCTATTAAGGTAGATTCATGGTATACCGCCATCTTGGATTGTACTATCTCAGTACAAAATCGGTCTAGTTATTTGCTCAAATCTGCAAATTTGGAGACAGATTTGCAATTTAATGGTTAGATTGTTTATTTATATAAAGAATTCTTGGTGATTTATTGTATTCTTCAAAATATTTAAACAAATATCAAATTTTGTGTTTTTAGAATCATTTTTTTCAAATAAGCCATTAAAGGGGAGATAACTCTTTCAGTAAAAATATTACTGGACTGATAAGGAAATTTTTAATTTTTACTTGTAGCAAGAAAACAAGTTCGGTGACACCATTTTTTCTTTTTATTTTCTTAAAACATATTATAAAATCTATCTTCTTACAATTTATTTCAAAATTCTATCTCATAGACATTTTTTTATGCTCACAAATGTGTGTTTTTTCATGAACAATCTAACCAAATTTAGGCAATTTTCAACAACTCATAGCTTGAAAAATAGCACGGTGACCCATACTTTTTTTTATATTTTTGAAGAAAGCATAGTAAAATCTTCCTTTTGGCAAAGTATAAGAAAATTCTATCTCAAAAAGTATATACTTATGATCTACCTTAAGCATGTTAAGTATTAATATGATCTTTCATACAATGAGTGTTGATACAACGAATCCATGGAGCTTGCCTTAGGTATCATAGGTGAATAAGGGAAAACAGCGTGAGGTTTAATTCCTTTTGATTGCTTATAATACAACAGCCTGCTGCCAAAAATATATCATAATTAAATTTAATAGCTATGTCGTCACTGTCTGTTTCATTGCGTAAGAAAGGAGACAAATACATCATAAATATGATCTTAAAACAAAAACTGACACGTCACCAACGACTCCTTAAAAGGAAGACTATCTTTACTACTAAAGAAAGAGACCAATTTCATTGAGCCGCAACTCCTCTGAAACCATACAACGTCGGAAATATTTGTGATATGACGTATAAATGTAGTGTTTTGTACTTCCTAAAGTCTTTGAAACAATCCTTTTTTCCACAGAAAACGCCAATTTTTGAGAAAATACCAAATTCGATCCGTGTCTTATACGCTTTCGCGCATGCCCAGTCGACGTACTGCCTTCACTTTGTTTCAACACTTGCCCAATTGTACCGCGATTTCGCAGGCATCTTCTAGTTTATATATATATAAATATATAAGAATACCTAGGCACTTTGCAATTAGAATAACTTCATAAAAAAATAATATACAGATAAAAATATGGCGATTGACAATTTTGTAGTATTTGATTTAATTTCAAGAAACATGGGAAATTACTTCTATCCATTTTTTTCATTAGAATTCAATATATATATATATCTACATGCATCGCTAGATGACTGAATACTATTTCATCCTGTCTAAGATATAGTCTAGAAACATATTCGATTACAGTTATTATATACATAAATAACTTTTTGTTTTTTAAAAGAGGATTTTTATTTGAAAATGTTACATGCATCAATTGTACAAGTGGTTTTTTTTTTAGATTTGCGCAATTAAAGATAAAACAGCAATGCTAATGTACAATGAATGAAAAACAATACGCACATAAAACACTGGTGAAAACAACAGAGGTCTAGGATTTTTAATAATGAGCATAACTAAGGTTACAAAAGGACAAAAGTTGTCTGAAAACGTTAATAATACCACAGAAGAATGCGTCAATATTGTCAATTAAAAATGGCTTTCTTTTTCGACCACCGATAAAGAAGTGGGATATACTTTTAAGACTTTTTGTTCTAGTTAAACTTGTCAATAGACTAACAATAAACAAAAAATAGGATCAAAAATGTGTGTGTGCTCCCATAGTTATCGATCATATAGCCTGGAATGGATTTCGATTCTGAAAACATTGTAAACCATTCCTTATTCAACAAGCACTTCTTAAAAGAGGGACGAAAGATACCAGAGGGACAGTCAAACTCATAGATCGAAAACAAACTGACAACGCCATGGCCAAGAATAAAAAGACAAACAGACAAATAATAGTACAGATGACACAACATAGCAAACTAAAGACTAAGCAACACGAACCCCAACAAAAACTGGGTTAAAGTATTTGATGTTGTTGGACATATCGGTATTATATACAGCTTCTAGAATCATTTAAACATTAAACTGTTTACATCAATTAATGAAATAAACAAGAAGTCCGTCCCTCTCTAATAGTTTTCAAGTTAGTTAAAAAGTTTACAAAGCATATTATGATGCAGTAAATAGATATAAGAAGATGTGGTATGAGTGCCAATGAGACTACCATCCATCCAAGTCACAATTTGTAAAAGTTAACCATTATAGGTCAAAGTACGGCCTTTAACACGGAGCCTTGGCTCACACCAAACAGCAAGCTATTAAGCATATATAATGCAGTAAACACCAAATACATAAGTGTATATAGAGGTATTCCCGTAACAGTGTGGACAACCACAATACTTATGTTGGTAATAATACTGAATCATTTACCTTTAACTTGTTTGTCATCGGCTATCGATAACAATGATTTTACGCTCACGCAGTCTGTCAGAGGCCTTCCTAGGGGGTATTTAAATAGAATAAAAGAGTAAAGTTCATGCATGAGAATAAGAAGCAAAAAGAATTTTTAAGTATTCAACATTGTAATCAACATATAAGGTTTTGTTATTCGTATTATTTGATTTATTCGTTTAGAATCTTTGGCGACCCCACTGTTTAAATGTCTACAACAAGTGCGATGTGATAATTCAGCGTTACAGAGGAACGATCACCTAATCTGACCCAGTCAATTTATAAAATATGCGCGTCACGAAATGGTTTCGTCCACACTGGTATGAAAACGACTCTATTACTAGTATACTGAGATGGATAAAAGACATTCTCACAGCAACAGGTAAGACTCACCAGCAGTACTGCTCGCTACGTAACCGCTTATTTCCAATTCATAGTTTGTTGTTACATCTCCGATAAAGAATCTAGTATATTTAGCCCATGCAGAATTTCCTTCAAAATCCTCCAAATCTACCCGTAGTTGATAATCACCAGTTGAGACAATTTTGTGAATTTTTGCATTTCCTGTAACATTATATGTCAACTTATAAATATATGTTGTAGCAATATTATCTTCCTCTTTTCCTCAATTGTATAATCCTCGAAAGCGCATTGTGCTCGTAAATTTACTTAATAGTTTAACAGGAACAACATATCTTCCTAGAACATCTGAATTCACCGCTAAGTATTTATAAAGGGGTTACTTATGTTTATGCTTTATTTCTTTACGTTGTATTTGTGTTAATTTATTTTACAGTGTCTTTGTTGTTCTATTGGACTTACGTCTCAGGCTGATATGGGCTTATATAGGGGTCTCGGGATGATACCCGGGTCGATATGGAAAAGGCCATGTATTATTATGTATATATCAAATGATAGACGAAAGACACTAAAAGAACATTCAAACTCATAAGCCGAAAACGAACTGAAAATTAGGAATATATGTTTGACATATATGTTGAATATTTTGGACAATACATCATTCTTCAAATTTATGATTAAAAACAAAGAGTTTACTGCAAATATTTAGTGTAACAATCAAACAAATAATTTCGTTTTGATATAAACACATCAAATATATATATATATATATATAGGTATAGTTTCATCGTAATGGAGGCTATACAAAACATGAAAAAAAACATATACCTAGCCAAAACTCATGTGTAAGATTCCCAAAACCGTCCTGATAAGCTGTCCATCCTCTGTAAAAGTCTGTACTGCCGTCTAATCTCCTTTGGATTACCTGTAAAATTTTACATGTTGAGTGCAATTAAAATACACAAAACAATGTATACGAAAGAAAACATCTTTTCTTTTTGCAGTAGTTGAATGATGACAGGCAATGATCATTTGAAAGATTTTCTAATTTACTTAGACATACGATTAGCAAATTAAAAAATAACATATTTTATCGTGTCATAATCATTAGCAATGGGTAAACTATTTCATGCTTAAGACTAAATTATTATATACTAGGAGAGCATTGGTAACTTTACAAATGTACTAGGAAAACATTGGTAACGTTATGAGCAGACCAACAGCATGGAAATCCTATGACTTATATGGCGTGTCATCTTATATCTATATTCAATGAATTTAAGATAATAAGAATTGAGAAAAAGAGGGAGTCTACATTTTGTAGGCTAAAAGAGTTTCGTCCAACATGACTTCGTCTTGGGTGATAATTTTTTCCCTCGTGTGGTAATCTACCCTAGCACCTTCATCCAGGGGCAGTATGTTTATATTATTATTATTACAATGTATTATTGTTATTATTATTATTATTATTATTATTATTATTATTATTATTATTATTTATTCCGATATTTATTTACAGACAGAAATTTGACATTGTTCGTACACCAAAATGAAAATAACGTTACGTCATTGGTTGAATTTCCATTGTTTAGAATGTTTTAAACCAATCACTACGTTTTGGTGTACGCTTTTGAAAATATTACCCAAAATGCATTAGATACTGAAACTGCTCACGAGTCAAAGCCAGGTAATGATAACTTACTGTCCAACCACCATCATCTGTTTCCATTTCACAATAGGCATCGAACTTTGCATATGTTGTTGGATGAATACTGTAAACCCCAGAACCACAGTGGCGTGGTATATCAGCACAATCATGTGGTGGATATAGAACTTTTAAAAGGCGAAAAAAGTGGTTAAGATATATTATCATTCGTTCAAAATTTCACAACCAAAAACTATTGATTGATATAACATAAACGGTACCAAGTTTTCTGCACCGGATGCGCATTTCGACAATCAATATCTCTTCAGAGATGCTCGAGGCCTAAATATTTAAAAATCCAAAGCTTATTAAAAGGATGAAGAGCTATAAACCAAAAAGGACAAAAAAATATACCCAAAGCCGGGAAAGAAATCAGAGCTTTGCATGAGGGAGATACATTCCTTAATTTTAGATAATTTCAAAAATTTTGTAACAGCAAATTTTATTAACACAAAATCCGTATTTTCATGCCAGTACCGAAGTACTGGCTACTGGGATGGTGATACCCTCGGGGACTATCAGTCCATCAGCTGAGGCATCGACCCAGTGGTAGTAATAACATAAACGGTTCTAATTTTTTCTGCACCAGATGCGCATTTCGACAATCAATGTCTCTTCAGTGATGTTCGAGGCCAAAATATTTGAAAGTCCAAAGCTTATTAAAAGGATGCAGAGGCATCGACCCAGTGGTAGTAATAACATAAACGGGTGATACCCTCGGGGACTATCAGTGATTGTTATTTGCTTTACCTGTTGCGACAATTATTTCATGCATTATCAGGACGACATTAAATGGCAGATGTCACTGGTGGCGTTGGAACTGGAGTTCACAACTATATTTTTTGTTTGGTTGGTGTAGCACGATCTTAGTTTTTGTGCAGTATTTTGAGGACTTCTCTTTGTTTGTTCGTCGACTTATCGTTTGAACTGTTATCGATATTTGTTTTATTTTCTCCCTCTGTATGTTTCTCTACTCTTTATCACTGTTATTTTTCGGGAAAACACCTTAGGAATTAGCCAATGATATCATGGGCGTTAACTGACTAGTCTATACTTAACAAAAACTACGTATAGTGCATCTGCTACCTCATCACGTTTATATATAATCTAAAGTAAGTAGAGCATTTAATATAAACTATCTAACATATCTACTATAATACGTAATTCAAAATGCACCTGTTAAGTCGATACGAAAATAAGGAAGCAATATAAAAGAAGGTTATTTAAGGTGGGTGGATGGAATTAACTAACTTATTTACTCACATTTGGCTATGAGTGTGAATTACATCAGAATAAAAACAAAATTATTCAGTAGATATAAGAAGATGTGGTATGAGTGCCAATGAGACAACTCTCCATCAAAGTCAAAACTTATAAAAGTAAACCAATATAGGTCAAAGTACGGTCTTCAACACGGAGCCTTGGCTCACACCGAACAGCAAGCTATAAAGGGCCCCGAAAATTACTAGTATAAAACCATTCAAATGGGAAAACCAACGGTCTAATCTATATAAAAAACGAGAAACGAGAAACACTTATAAAAAACATCAACAAACAACAACTTCTGAACATCAGATTCCTGATTTAGGACAGGTGCAAACAATTGCAGCGGGTTAAAAGATATACATTGTATGCGCAAACTTACCTTGTTCTATACAATAAAACAAAATTTTCCATTTACCGTAGTCCGTACATACAGCAAATGGACGTCCTACCAAAGCAAACCCGTCATTACATTTAAATTTATTTCCAGTGCCAAGATTTCTATATAAGCCAAATGTCTCTATGCTCATAGCATCATATATATCTGGCAACAAGTCATCACAGTCTGTAAAAGGTAGAAAATTGTATATATTTCTAGAACTAATTGGCAGAATAAATTTTTCATAGCACTGACGTTTGCTTCATGGAATCATTCATGACTACTGGTTTATCAACAGTTGATTTATTATGTTTATTACAGGTTCAATTTAGGGTAAAGTCACCCAGGCTTCTCCTGTCCGGCAGTACTGTTTTTTTTAAATGTGTTTTTAAATTCCCATTTTTAGTAAAGAAGCCTTGCTTTATAGTTTTCATAGTTTTCAAAGATTTCAGACGAATTAACAAGGAAAGTACCTGGGTAATGTCATCTTTTATTTATGCATGTTTATAAATATTTCTTACTTTATAAACATAATTTATAGAAATATATCCAACTTTTATATAACTGGGGTCGAATTATTAAGTTCATATTTTAAAGCTGAGTATGATTTTATTTACATATCGTTTCGTTATATTCTAAAGCTAAAAGGTCACGTCCTCAAAACATTAAGACATAAAAGATATGATTAGAGATATACAGAGGTCTGCTAATGAACGTTTACAAGTAGATGTGAAACAAGAGTGAGGGAGAGTTGGTGGGATATTACGGAAGCCGGTTAGTGTCAAGGTGGAGTTTTCATTTTTAAGTCGTTATAACGACTTAGCTAACTTGTTATAACGACTCAGCTTATCTAAATTGTTATAACAACTTAGCTAACTCGTTATAACGACTAAGCTTACTCGTTTAAACAACTTAGCTTACTCATTTAAACGAGTTAGCTAAGTCGTTATAACAAGTATGCTAAGTTGTTATAACGGGTTTGATTACCTAAGTCGTTATAACGAGTTAGCTTAGTCGTTTTAATGAGTTAACTTAGTCGTTTAAACGAGTTAACTTAGTCGTTTAAACGAGTTAACTAAGTCGTTTAAACGAGTTAACTAAGTCGTTTAAACGAGTTAGCTTAGTTGTTTAAACAAGAAAGCTAAGTTGTTATAACGAGTTAGATAAGATAAGTCGTAATAACAAGTTAGCTTAGTCGTTATAACGACTTAAAAATAAAACTCCACCATGACACTAATTGGCTTCTGTAGGATATAGATTGTGTGTATGTTCATTCAGTTTATCTTCTTTTGATTTTTTTAGTGTGATTATTTCCGATATACTACATGTTTTGTAAAATTTAGGCAAGTTTTGTTAATTACGCTAACAATATAGTAATAACTATAGTATTTTCCGTGTTGTGATGTTGATTTAATCTCTATATCCTTTGATGAAAATATTATGTAAATGCCACTTTGTATGTCCCTTGAATATAAATTCAAAATGTATCAAATACCAGTATTAATATTTTTTATGGTTGTCGTGTATTTATTTATTAGATAATGAAACACTTTGAAAACGTCAAAGATACCTTGAATAATTTGTTTGTCATTAAGTTCTAATAAGATATATGCCATCCCTATTGGATAAAGGTATTTTACTACAACATGTCTTATGCAACATGTTTGTTTTTGGAGTATAAGAATATGCCTTACTTGTATTCGATTTGACTAAAACTTTATGAGGTCAAATATTTAAGGGATGTAGTAAGGTGAAATTAAAAAAAAATTAGGAAGTTAAAATTGATACTAAACATCAGAACAAAATAAGCTGAAAATATTGGTAGGATATGAACTTTTCGAGATATTAGATTTTTCAAAAATGGAGGGGAAAGACCGAATTTGACTTTTAGCTTATATTTAGCATTGCCACTATTTGGGTCTCAAATCGTAAGACAAGAAATCTAAAATCTGCTTAAATTTAAGTAATGACCTTTTTGAGCTATTGTAGTCTTCTACGGAAAGAAAACTGGGTGATGTTGGGCAAAATATTTTTTGGAAAGAATCAAAGAAGTCCGATCTTCAGACAAAATTTCCTAAACCTGAAATGACTCTATCCTTAACTGCATAAAGTTCACAACATTATATTGACATCATAACTGACGTTTCTGCACTAAGTGTCCTTATCAAATAAACTTATTCATATGTAATATGTAATAAACAAATTTTAAAAGAAGAGAATTTTTTCCAAGTTTTTTAATTGCAGTGCTGAATAATGGTTCTTATTTAACACCCTCCTTTTGAAAATGCACTGACATTCATACTTACACGCAGTCATACACGTATATCCTCCATTATCATCTTTAACACATTTTTGTCCTGCTGCACAATTGTGATTTGTGCAAACTCCTGCAAAAGACTGAAATATCCAAATATAATACAATTACTGTCATGATGATACACTTGTAACATGTGTAAATCAATTGTAATAATAATATATGTGTATATTTAATATAGCTTCAATATTGTAAACATCATGGCAACTTAAATGTTTTATACTTGCATAAACCTCTTTCATCACATCAAAAGTATTTATTCCTTAACAGGAGAAACAGTTATCAAATTTTTCATGAATTATTTCATCTAGAAATAATTTTCAGTACATATTATTAGAACTATGAATTATGAATGCATTTAGCTCGTCGAACGAGTTAACAAACATTAAGTCATTATTTAGTTTGTGTGTGTGTGTAAAATCTATAAAATCTTTGATTTTCATACTTAAAAAATAATAACCACGTCACCACGCCTTGGAATCTTCCTAATTAATATGACACAATTTTGAGAATGATTAAATAACCTCCGGAAGTGACCAGTTACGGAAATGGAATCATATCGAATAGAAAAAATACAAGATTGAAGGGTTCAAATTAAATCTTTTCTACAGCCTTTGTTTACCACCCTTCAATTTAAATTAGGGAATGTAAAAAGAAAGAAAGAAACAATATTTAATTTGTCTATTTTTTTTCTGTCTGAAACACTATTCTAGAAAAGCCTTCATCGCCAACGCTCAAATCCAACCAATTGAAAACCAAGGATGTGTTCATATTCAAATCAAAGGATGTCAATCGGATACCAAATTGTCCAAACGGTTATCTGATATGGAAATTTGTGGGAAATCGAATGCTCCTTTATGATTTTTTAGGGAAATTTCGAAAGAGAACGAAAAACTGAATGGAGATTTCCGCCATGTTCGTTGACGCTTATTTCTTTATTATTATGATAGTAGTTCCCACTGTAGACCAAATGGAAATTCTTACCAATAAGGCTACTTTCGAAGGCATATCATTCTTTGATTTTTATTATTAATTTAATGGATTAAATTTGACATCCTAAGTCTCTCC